CTCCGTTCCTTCCTTCCTTCCTCCCTCCCTCCCTCCCTCTCACCTCTTTCGCCTCGCTTGTGTTCGATCAGCGGTTTCACGCTCGTGACGTGTGTTGCTCGTGACGAGCTTTTGTTACAAAACTTTTATTTTTTCCTAGACCTTTTTTCATCCGACTTCCCTTTACGACCCGATGGAACGCGTTTTCGACCATACACTAGATATCAACACACTTTGCGGGCTCCTCTCATCTGGGATCAGCAGGACGTGGGGCCTCCTTCGCGATACATACATGTGTACATGAGAAACAAGGGACAAACAATCTTGTCCAACGCGCAACTCGATCCTGTGACCCTTCAGACCGAAGTGACGAGTCTGTACACGCTCTTTGCCACCTCGGCCATTCAGGTCGGCACTTTTTATTTGTGCCGAATCCATATTCATTTTTATCTGTTTATTTACAGTTGATTTTAAACGTAGGTAAGTGAGCAATTGAATGACTCGTGACTGTAGAACATTAGTAAAATCTCTATTTTGCAATGTATATAATCTGCTTCTGAGGGGCATCAAGGTCCATGTCCCCCCACCCCACAGCCTGGGGCGCATTTGGTCATTAGTATTACATATTTCGAATTTAAATCTGATTAATGATAATAAGGACATTTTCTTCAGAACTATTCCTATTTCTATTTAATTTTGCTATGAGTAATTATGCAATACTGTAATTAATAAATAAATACTTTAAATTTCGATCTTCCAAATGTACTACAGAAAAGATCGTATAAACGGGAAAGATGCCGTCCAGTTATGATGAATTTTCATGTGATCAGACTGGTTTCCTTTATTACCTGTCAAAGTAACTTTTAAATTATATGAAGAGTCTGACGAAAGAACCGGATGCAATTACAAAGTAATTGTAAGTTATGAAATTCAAGGTATTAATTGATGAAGAGGCTTCAATATAGAAAGTGAGTAATCCAGGAAAACTACTAGGTAGACGTTTTAGAATCTCATTACATGAACAACGTGTCTTGTTGTGAAAAATGAGTTATATATTTTACAGAGAAAAATAAAAATGCTCTACAATGTATAATATTATTAATCGTTAAAATATTTGCTTCTCTCGTATATTGCATACTTCAGTACTGCCGAAGCAGGGGGTCATATTACGAAATCTGTTACGGAGGTTGAAAGCCGAGTCGTCATTTTGTTGTTTGAAATATTTCGCGTGGACACTTTGCCTTTCCGACAGGTTTTATTCTTATTGCTTTGCTTAGAAGAGAAAGAACGACGACTGGATCCGCGTATTGTGAAATAGAAGTTTGCTGCATACAAGTGCATAAGAACAGTGTTGCGCGATACTGATGTCGTGATGAAATTTCTGCAAAGCAGATGCCGATTCTTAAAGACCTACTATTAAAATTTCTTTTTAATATTTTATTTAATGTAGTCTCGCAAATTTTAAAAAGAGCAAATCTTCAAATTAACTCATCGATTTTCCCTAATATATCCTCCTCTCCTTATTTGTTCAATTTTGTAACGAGAAAATGATTGGTGCTTTAAAAGTTTGATCCGTAATCATCTGTGTCTCGTGTATAGATGTAATCTAGTACGTAGATAGAAAAAACTCAAGCTCCTTTCATTCCGCCTCTTCATTCGTTCGCTTTTATTTCCTAATCCTGTTATTTGCGTAACGACATTCCAAGACTTCTTGTCGTTGAACGTGGAGTAATCCTACTTTATGTCAGTCATACGTAAAGTCATACGTAAATTCTCCAGGAAGTTCATCGTCGCTAGTATCTGAGATTATCATAAGGTAACTCGTCCAGTAATCCGCGGTGTCTCGAGATGAATAACTACCGTGACTTTATAGAGCTTGATTAAGAATTTAGTCTCCTTGTGTAGGTTTAATTATGGAACTGTTTCTTCACAAACTCAAATCTTTTGTAAAACATAATGTTAGATGTGAATCATAGCTGTAGGTTCTTATGATGTATGAGGATTCTGAAACTTCCAATTACCCTTCTAGCATCTCTTAATTACAATTACTTTCTCAACTAAGTCAAGACAACACTTTTGCGCATTCTCAGGCAGCTTGTTTCTCAAGAACGTTCATTATGAATTGCAGGTTATACGATGGAAAGAGAGTGCAACTGGTCCTGTTCGTGAGGAACTCTGAAGCCATGAGAGAAAGGGTTTCCATCTCAACGAAATATTGTTAGTCATCATCCTTTGATAAAGTTGGTTATTTTCTTTTCAGGACTTGGAAGTATAGTCAATTTTGCCATTAAAACCTTCACTCTGGCGCACTGCAATAGAAGAGTGGTCACAATCACTTTTGCTCCTATTTCAATCGGTAATTTGAAAGGATGCCTTTCACCGCCTTAGGTATAACATGATCAGCGTTTCTCTTATCATAAGTGCTTGGAAGTGGTAGCTCGAAAATTAATTCTGCGAGGTAGAAGATACTAATAATACTTATTATGTATTATTATTATTATTTATTATATTATTATCTAAGTGTGCATACGTCGCGCCCGTGGCGCAGACGGTTGCGTTGGCGCACGCAGGAGGTTGCTCATGGATTGAGTATCGCTACACATGGAACGTATTTCTGACTGTCTTCTTCACCCCGCATCATGCTCATCCTATCACCACATAATTAACATTTCAAGGCGTCAACAACCTTGTCTCTACGAGTAATCAGAGGGATCACAGCCGTAAAAAGCTGATCCTCATAATTACACACGGTAATCTCTCCGAAGTCTCTGAAGATATAACGTGTAGCATGGTCATAAGTCGCCTACACGCAAAAAAAGTAAAACGTTCAAAGAACATCTCAAATAAAATATTTACATAAAATTTATTTATTATGATAATGTTTTGTGGAAAGGGAGCGTGCAGTAGTGTTGGTCATTAAGAGATAATTATTTTTAAAAAAGATTCTGTTCTCTTCTCAGCATTTTTTCTCTACGGAAAACACTATGGGTCTTTGCAAAGAACGTTCTACGAATTTTCTGTTAGTATAAGAGTTTCACAACAGCGCTTCTCTTAATCACATGCATTAATGAATGTTGCAGTGTGGCCTCTATAAATTAGAAATTCATTCAAATGATTCGGAAGGCATGAATTGCTTACCAATGTAATTAGTTGTATAAAAGAAAAGTTTTGATATTTTAAATTGATTTCTATTAAGAAAATACTAATACAGTATTATGTAATATTAGATTTGTTCTATAGAGTTTAAAAAACTCTATAGTAAAATGAAGTACAACATATTCACGCTACAAGCAGAAAAGTAGGGATAATCAAGCGCCCCGCCACGGGTATGCCGAAACGTGGGTCAAAGTAGGGAGAATCTGTATAAAATCGAGTCGGGTAGCAGCCCTCCGTGAGGCTGTGTTTGCAAGGAGCTTTGGATCTGTTGCAGCATCTGCTCGCTGCTGCCGGAGGCCGTGGTGCCGATGGCCGACAGGCTGAGGAAGGAGCTCGTCTTCCAGCCGCTGCTGCGCAAATCCGCGCAGGCTGAGCTGCGCCGCCTCAGGAAAAAGTACTTCCCCAACTTCGACGGCGAGGTAAGGCCGAAAACCTGGATATTATGTCACGCCAGATCATTATGGAAGGTTTACACCCAGAGCATGAATGTAGTTCAGGAAGTACTACATCCATACCCTGTGGAATGCAGTATGGAAGGCTACAAACGCCACATATACACTTAAAACATTCCTTCTTTTTGCGGGTTACGAAGCCATAGCCCTAGTGTCCACGTGCGTGAGCTCTTTTGTTCAAAGCCCCTGCTCCATTAAATAAAATCACTTGGCAGTTTCATTTGTAAACGAGTTACGATTATTGAGAGAGTAAATTTATAAAACTAATAACAAATATAATTTCATATATTCCCAGCCTATAATGCGCTTTGTAGCATTGGATTTATGTATTTGAACGACTTCGACACCTCTTGGTTTCATAGCAACAATGTAAAAAAAATTATTTTTCAGTAATAAAATCTATCAACATTTCTTTCAGTAATCAACAATTTTCTAAAAATGAACTACAAAAACGCTGTACACCCTAATTTTCAGCTCATATGAATTAACAGAATGAATTAGTTTACTTTAATTATTTTAAAGTAATTCGAATATCGAGAAAATTGTAGAATTTAAAAAAAAAGCAGGTTAATTGTTTTACATTTTATCATTTTTTCAGTCCCCAAAAAATAGAATGAAAATATGGCTTTAATAATAATACAGATGTTTATAATCTGGATGTAAAAATTTGGAGCGGTATTTGAGATATTGTTGAGGGAAATGTTTTTGAGAAAACGTTATGGTAGGGCGTGCAGTATTTAAGTACATAGCTAAGATACATCGCTACTACGGAGGTGTGTATGGGGGTGGGTGATTTAAATATTTTGAACAAGAATCAATGTTAATTCTAAATATTTTTAATGTTACCTGTTGTCAATTTTAATAGAAATATACTAAAACATTAAGCTAATGGAAAGAATATATATCTGCTTCAATCCTTCAAAGTTATATAAGAAACGACTGCAAATACGTGAAAAAATTAAATCACCTTAAAAAGATAAATATATTTAACTATAATACAAATATATTTAAATAGTTGCTGCCCAATGCATATCAGATAACTTATTTGAAAACAGTCTCGATTTTGAAAAATCGGTTATGCGTTGGCATTTTTTTTCACTGTTGAGACGACTACATAAAATCACAAGATATTTAAGGGGAATATTTTTTATTCATAATTGATTTGATTGAAATATTGGATGGTGCTAATAGAGAGAAACTGTAGAGATGATGTGAAAGAGACACATCTCTAAACACATAAAAGACGTGGAAACCAAATTCCTTGTCTAAGCGATAGCAAACTCAGGAAAGATTCTAAACTAAATCGTTAATAAATGTGAAAACAAGGCTGTCACATACCGGGGACATGAATGGTAAATGGCACACGCCATTAGCGCTACTAATAAAGAGGTGTCAGTATTGTTCATTTGTGAAAAGAAGTGAAATGATTGAAATGAAATAATCAATTTGTAAGGAAAAAGACGCTTGCATAATATTCTAGCGTAGTTACTATAATCGTAATGTGACTACAGTAATTTTAAGTTACGGCATTTTTATTAGCATGTTTTTTATTAATAAATGTACCGTTGATGGGCTTTGATGGGCTGGCAACGTTCGATGTAACCGTGCAATTTGCATCTGTGAACCTCGTCAATCCCGTTTATAGACTTTCTTTGAATCGTGTTAACAGAAAAATTTAGTCCTTCGTGACGTTATGAAGATGGCGTGATGCCACTGGATCGTTCGTGCATTATAATCTCTTTCCGTTTTGGTGCTGCCCGAAAAATATTCAACTTGAATGAGGAGACGGGAGGAGACCAGACAACTGGCGCATTAGGAGGAGGTAAAAGAAGCTGATAAGCAAGCTGCCTCCGGATGTCCGTCAGAATCTTCAACTTTTTCATCGATCCCTCCTTAAAGCTACCTTTTCCCCCTGTTTTATGAGCGACTGATCCACCAGCGATTCCAGCAATCTCCAGCGATTACGCTACTCTCCGTTGTAGCAAGTCTTATGCCATAAAATTCAACAAATGTTAAAAAAAATTAAAGTTATTGTGTTAATAAACAATAAATTTAAAAACGTCCATAATGTAATTACTAAATTATTGCGAGGAACAAATATCACTTGAAAAATCTCTCGTGTTAAAGTTTCTTGTTGGGTTTCGAGGTCAAAAGAATTTTAAACTTTCGCAATTTTCGAAAATGCAGAAGTAACATCGGGTCTGTTCCATCGTTCTAAGTGAGTCGGTAAGTGAAAAAAAAACGTAGAAATCCAAAATAGACATTTTTAATGGAGATAGCATTTAAACGTGGCCCTTCTTTATGAAATGAAGAATAGCACAACTAACACAATGCATTTTTACGAGGCTACCTATTATTGTATAGATTGCAAGAACATATAACTCCTGGGGTTATATAATTCTTCCATCCAATATCTTTATATTCTCCTTGCGGCATGAATTCGACATACTCGTATGTAATTGACTCTACAAACCTACAATGTGAATTTTGGAGAGAGATATCATTGTTGTTTGTTAAGTTGAAAGAAGCAACGTATCAAATAATTAAATAACTACGTAATGATCGTGTTCGTAGATACTCCTTTCTGCCATGCGAAAGAGTCTGCGGAAACGACAAACTAGTCATAAGACGTGATCGAATTTATTTACCAGGAGATTGTAGGCGTTTAATTCTCAGAAATTAAAACCATCAATAGTATCTATAATTAAATATACAGATATAACGAACTTCAACAGCTGGTGACCAAATTATTTATAAAAAAACTAGCAACTAAACTGTTCAAGGAAATAATGAAACCTTCTCATTTTCAAAACTCTAATCAGTCAATCTAGGAGAGTTTTACACCAGGTAACGTTTCAGTTAGTAATTTTATTGGATGACTAGTTACATTTTTAAACGTCTCAAGCCTCACGTCACCCCAATTTTCCCAAACGCACCAGCTTACAAAAAAAAGTGAAAAAGATCTATCGCTTAAAAAGTCAAGTATGTGAGTAGAGAAATCATGGAGTTTTACTATCAAACTGTGTCTTGGGAGCTAAGCAATGAAGATCAGCAGGAATCATAAAGACATCATTACAGTTCTAATCTATCATACTGTGTCACAAAATTCATTAATAAAGGCATTCTTAATCACATTAGTTACTTTGTTTTACGTTTCACAAGTATTGAGTGGAAGAACAGTAACTCTAAGCTCAATTTTTGGCAGTACAGCCTCTTAGGATGCACATAATGAAAATCACTGGGCAAGTTCTTGTAGAGGAAGTCATTCCTTACAACCGTGTGCATTTGATTGTAAAATTTACACGTTTTACACAAAACATATTTTTGTGTTTTTCTCAAAACGAGGATTTTGGTGTTGTACTGTTTTTCACCCATTGCCTCAAGCGTATTTTACACTATGAAGTATGAAATATAAAAACACAATTAGAACACATTTTGGGAAAACGTTCCAGGCGATTCATTGGAAATAGCTTCCAAAACTAAAATTACTTTCAACAGCGCAGGCCCTCGTGTCGACTCATATCAATCGGGGAATATTAATACTGGAAAAATACTATGGCAGGTTTACAGAATAGTGTCGTTCAGGGATGGACATACAGACAGAATAATGGACAGACTAATGGACATAAGTTTTGAAAAAGAAACACTTTTCCTGTATCCTGGAATATCAAAAACGAATGTTACTGTTTAAAACTCGACTTTGATTTTCCACAGCGTGAAATAACTTTCTTTATATTTTGTATTTTACGATTCTATGTTCACATTCTATAAATGAGAAATTAAAAAAAAATGGTGTTCTGAATCTTGGCACTTCTGCCAACATTGAACGGTCAAATACAACAGACTGCAGAACCAGCGAATTGTGATAGATGCAGCATGGACATACGGATCAATGAATTACATAGAGTTGAATGGGAATAAAGTTTCTTCGCATAGTGTATGAAAGAAATGGGGAATGATGAGTTCATCTTCTACATCAAAAGTCAATGACCGGACTTCAAGGCTGCATCCGAGCGTGGCAGTCGCTTCCTTCAATGGGCTGGGATGAGTCATCGCTCTACATTCCTTTGTCTGACCGGACACCTTTTTCGCTCTTGATCTCCTGGCCAGAGGATTCGTCATTCGGTATTGTTCACACTCTCTGTTCAAGCTCTTTAGTTGTGAAATGGAAATGTACTTTCCTACGTGTCGCCAAATATGACTACGCAGCTAACTTAATTCACTAATAAAACAAACATTGGACAAAATGACAAAACAAAAACCAATTCTTATATAGTAATAGAGTATTCGACGTTTCTCCATCCTTGCGTCCACCCGTCAGTCAGACTTTTTATCCAACCGTCCGTCCGGCCTTTCTTGTGTCCGTCCGGCCTTTCTTCACGAGACGAAGGGAGTCCTCAAAGATAATGATGCGAGCATGGACCTGTTCAAATACCACCCGGATTCAGTGGGTGAGAGTTTACATAGAGTTCGATATGAGAAGAGAATTTCAATATAGGTTTCGTTTCGCATCCGCTGCTATGGCATTGGATTGAAAGATTGGGATCTGTATGTTAGCATTCATTTTCTCTCTACGCCATCAGAAACCAAGTCATACTGTACTCAAGCGCCACTTCAAGGCTGCATTTTTCTTTGGGGAGCAGAGTGGCATGATCGCCTTCCGTGTCGGAATTTCCTGGGCTGGGATGAGTCATCGGCTCTACATTCCTTTGTTGACGCGGAACAGTCCTTTACGTGGCATGTCTCTTTTAGATCTCCTGGCCAGATTCCGACGCGATATTCGGTCATGTTTCGCGTATTCTGTCATTTACTTCAGTTGTGCATAACGACTCTCATAGATCGTTGGTCAACCAAGATTGGCGCTCATAATCTACCGATACCTTGGGTGGAATGGAAATGGGTATAATTGGGTGGTTAAACTGCGTGTCGTACGTCGTCTTGGGAGCCTTAAATTTCTTTAGAGTGTG